ACTCTACTACTCCTCTCCCTCCCCCCCCCCCCCGGAAACCCTTTGTTCTAGTTCATATCTTTTGTATACTGTACACACTTATCATTATCTATACAACATGCATTAACTGCTTAAAATACATGGAACTCTGCAATTTTTTCAGTGGCTAATCCCTATTATGTGTTTTTAAAAAATGTGTCAGATTTGTTACCAGTTAATGCCAGTTACCAGTCTTCACATTCAGTTCTTTCCTTAAGGCATCTTCCTTTAATTCTGCAGGTGACTGTTGCACACATCAATGCTACAGCAAAGAATGCAGCTGATGACAAGCTCAGACAGAGTCTTAGGAGGTTTGCTGATACACACACTGCACCTGCTACTGTGGTCCTTGTATCAAGTAAGAATATTAATCACATTGCATAAAACCTTTCACTGTGTTCTTTCAAGGTTCTGGGGAACAGAATCCTGTTGAGAATTTCCAGTCAAACTTTCAGACATTACACTGAGTGTTCTTCCCCCAAGTTGTTTAGAATCCACACTATTTTAAGCAAAGTGCTCAAGTGAGAATTCATGATGAGTTCCAGTAATAGATAGAACAGTAATTTTAACTATGAGAAGATGAATATTACTGTTTAGTGCTTCTGTTAAACCAGGATGGAAACTTATTTGCCACATCACATTGACTATTATAGACTGCTCTTAATAATAATGGTGTCTGCTAGGAGACTTAAGTGCCAACTTCAGATAAGTTTTATTATATTGAGTACTCTATGTAAACTCTCTAAACTTTAAGCATAATGAATGCAGATATATTTAATGCCTCACCATTACAGACTAATAATACAACATACACCCATAAATTTACAGTCACAATTATTTAATGAACTGTATGATATGTACTGCATTGGGTTTCACTTAAGGCTATAATATTCCATTTTAAGCAAAAAAAATGTGCTACAGAAACATACAGTACCAGTTTAACTCCTCCTGATTAAATTGTTAAATGTTACTATTGAAAAGAAAACCTTGATTTCTAAATTTCTTAAATACTAACTGCTGATTAAATATCTACCATGAATGTTTATAGCCGTTGCTATTCTTTCCCTGAAAGATTTTGTTGTTGATGCTGTTTTGGTGACAGAGAGAGCTTTTTAAAGTAGTCTTTTTAACCACTAATATTTGGGTGGGTGGGTCTCTGTTTCAGCTGATGTAAACTTTGCTTTGGAACTCAGTGACCTGAGACACCGGCATGGTTTCCAGATCATCTTGGTACATAAGAACCAAGCTTCTGAAGCACTCTTACATCATGCTCACGAGCTTATCAGGTTTGAAGAATTTATTTCAGACTTGCCACCAAGGTTACCATTGAAAATGCCAGTAAGTGATTTTTTTTGTTGCATACATTGTAGAAAATATAAAGTGTATATTGACCTTTATTTCCCTGATTTTGGGAGAAGTAGGTGAATATCAGGACACTTCTCAGCAGAACTGCTATCTCTCATAAGGCTGTACCTTCTTGGAATTGGTCTTAATTTCAACTGAACACCTAAGCACTGATCCCTAATCATTAAATGACCAATATCTATTTTTATCAATGACTTATGTAAAGATTAAGATGTATTAAAATGAAATAATACAAGTAGCAATCCAGTTACAATCCTCATTGTTCACCTAATGAAATGTGCATTTTGTATAAAAGTTTACAGTGCTAAGAACAAGCACTGTTGGAATGCACTTGTGTTTTAAGACGGTCTTTCTGTGCTTTGGTGATGTAAACAAAAGATAAGAAATGTGCAGTAACAACTTATTTACTCTATACTGCCTTGATTTTTCTACCTTGTGAATGTGAGGTCATCATCTTAAGGAAAAGGCCCCTTTAAGGGAAGATTTCATATAAGTTAAAGAATCCCTTTAACATCAGCTAAGCTGACAACCTGGTTCACATCATGGCTGGTATATTTGGTGTACGTGAAATAACCTAAAAAGTAGTATCTGATATTTTAGATCTTGGTATATTAAATATTGGTTTTACATGACCAAGTCCTTACATGACCTGCTTAACCAAATAAAATCTGTTTTGTTTTTTTTCCAACAGTCATGCCATACACTGTTATATGTTTACAACCTGCCAACAAACAGAGACAGCAAAAGTGTCAGCAACAGACTCAGGCGTTTGTCAGATAACTGTGGAGGAAAGGTGTTGAGCATTTCTGGCAGCAGTGCAATTCTCCGCTTTTCAAATCAAGAAAGTGCTGAACGTGCTCATAAGCGAATGGAAAATGAAGATGTGTTTGGCAACAGGATTATTGTGTCTTTTACCCCCAAAAACAAGGAACTCAATGAAACAAAAAATTCAAACTGTGTTGGAGCTGAAAAGGTGAAGTCTCCAAAAAAAGTGAACAAGAACCCAAAACTGTGCCTCCTCAGCAAAGATTCAAATGATCAGTCTTCCAATGCCAAAACCACTGCGGGAAAGGGATTGCAGACACATGGATCTGCTGCAAAACCCACAAATGTTAAAAGTTTACAGGTACCATCATTCTTCTCTGTCCTGCTGTGGTCTTCTCATGTTTCCAGATTTTACCTTTACCTCCCTGTGCTAGCATGACTTTAATCAGTGGAGGAAGATGGGTGGTGCTTTTTCAAAAGGAGTATAGAGTTTCATTTTCTGCCTTCTCCTCACATCCATATCCAGGTCTGAGTGCTAACAACTTTTACTAACCAGGGGTCCAAGTCTGGTTCTTGTCCTCTATTATTTTATTTTATTTTTAGGTATACTTTGAAGGAGAATGAGCCTTTGCTATTTTTGAAAAATTCAGTGTGCACAGAACTTAATAATACAAATTGCAGTGAAAATCTGTACCTCAATATACTGTTTACTATTCTTTCTATCTTATTTCTAAAAAAACATAACACACCTGGCTGCTTCTACAAAGTTATGCCTTGAGTTTAATTTTACTTTACATAAAGTTGGAAGATTTATGAAGAAAAGGAGTAGTAGCTTTTTAGTGGCTAATCTACCTTTGTGTTTTACTCTTTTTAAGGAGCTGTGCCGCCTTGAATCAAAGACCATCAGAAAAATTGAAAACCAGCAAGACCAGTTAAGAGAGGAAACTCTTTCTCCACAAAACTCTAATGCAGCAAATCTTGTGTGCTTGGCAACCAAAAACACAGGAATAGGAGAATTGTCCTATAAATGCAGTCAGAAGTATGTTAAGGAAAAAATAATGTTTTTTTAAAGTTAATCCATGTAGTAAAATTGAGCAACTCAATGATAATTTATTTATTTTTTAAATAGAAAAGACACCCCCGCTTCTAGAAGCATTACCAACTCTCCTATAGAGAAAAAAGATAAAGATGCAGTTGTATTCCAGGTCAGCTACCCATCTGCTTTCAGTAAATTGACAGCATCACGACAGCTCAGTCCTCTGCTCATGTCTCAGAGCTGTTGGTCATCCCGGTAAGTATCTGTATGATGTAGCATCATCTCCTATCTGGGAGATGGAGTCTGGGGTTGGTGTTAAGCTATTTCTAATGTATAAGTAAACAGGTCCATATATCTGTATGTGGACTTGAGTACAACAGATATTTCCGTTTAACGTTTACATGTTGTAGATAAGGATGCTAATCTGGTAATACTGTGGTAGCAGTTAACAGAACTCAGTTTAAAAATAAGACAGGAGAGACTACCTTTTTAATTAAACTTATTTTGTGTCAGCTGTTCCCTGTAAATCCTTATCTCCTTGGTATGTGTGTGGCAGAGTTCACAGTATTTCAGAAGCATTCCATTTCTTAAACATTTGGGGCCTAGACTTGCAAAGATATTTAGGTGCCTAAAGATGCAGATAGGTACTTAGGTGTGTGTGGGGATTTTCAAAACCCCACTAAATATCTTTGAAACTCTGGTCCTTTGCTGCTTATAGATTGTTTGAACAAGTATAACTCTCTCAACACAAAGTAGAAAGTACATTTTGCGGACAAAAATTGTATCCAACCCCAAACCTTATGCTGTCCATGTTGATCAGTCTTTAGACAGATTTTAGTGTTTTTCCAGGATTGTCTTTTGAGATTTTAAAGGAAAAAAGTTTTCAGCTTCTGTATTTAGCCATGTAAACTAAATGCATATGTACCAAAACCAAAATGCATTGACACTCGCAAATTTATCTACTTAATCCATGCTTAGAATTATTTTTTTTATTTGCACTTTTAACACACAGAGAGAGAGAGAGAGAGAGATAATTGTGTAATTGTCATATTTATTGAATAATACTAAAATGTCTTTATTTTAATTAGGAGTATGTCTCCAAACCTCTCAAACAGATCATCTCCACTTGCCTTCAATATTGTAAATCACACCAGTGGTACAGACTGTCTTGATCCTTTTGCAAATGGTGCAGATATTCAGATCAGCAATATAGACTACAGATTGTCCAGAAAGGAACTGCAGCAAATTCTGCAAGAAATCTTCTCTAGATATGGCAAGGTAAAGGATAAAATCCCTTTTGAGTTCTGTTTTTCCTTTCCACAAGCCTGTGTGCTCTACTTTTGAGGTACAGAGTACATCTGTCCGAAGAAGTGGGCTGTAGCCCACAAAAGCTTATGCTCAAATAAATTTGTTAGTCTCTAAGGTACCACAAGTACTCCTGTTCTTTTTGCGGATACAGACTAACACGGCTGCTACTCTGAAACCAGCTATCTAATGATACCTTAAAATATTGGCACTCAGAACTTGGTATTTCCTGTTACCATGCCATAATACATCTTACCTTAACTATTTCTTTTGTGTATAGTCCTATAGGTCTGTGCACTAAAGGCTTTGTATGTAAACTCTAAATGGAGCTCATGTTTTTTCTTCGTTGGGAGAATAGAATTCTGAAAATGTACATCCAGGGTCACTGGAAGAGTTAAATTAATGCTTTGAGCTATCCCATGTGTTTGGATAGCTCAAAGCATTAATTGAAATTAAAAATAATAATAATAAAAAAAGCCAACCCTAAAAACTTCTGTTCCTCATGTCCGCTTCAAAATTTTAAAATGTGCAGTCTAAATATTGAGCTGATATTTTGAATCACTTTAAAAATGACTTGAAACAGAAGGTAGATGTTATTTCACTGTCAATTCTAGAAAATAAAATTCCAGGGAGAGGCCATTTCTGTGACCTTCCACTTAATAACAGCTTTAAAAGAAACTATGCATAGAGTTTATGGTAGTTACATAAAATAATCTGACACTTCTCTAGTCTACTTTTCTATATTTAAAGATGACAGTTGACTCAGGTTAATCTTTTGTGATGAATTTGTATGTTCATTTTTTTTCTTTCAGGTAAAGAGTGTGGAGCTCAGTCCTCATACAGATTATCAGTTGAAGGCTATAATTCAAATGGAAAATCTACAAGAAGCAATCAGTGCTGTCAACAACCTTCACAGATACAAAATTGGCAGCAAAAGGATCCAGGTCTCCCTAGCTACAGGAGCTGCTAATAAATCTCTATCTCAGCTTAGGTAAAAAGCAGCCTAGACAATTGTTAGATTATGTCTGCTGGCTACGGATTGTTCCTGTAGATGTCAAAGTCAAAATACTAAGTGAAAGAAAACTGGAAACAAAATAAGCAAAATATAGCTTGTGCCAGCTGATTAAAGTTCATTAGCAGATGTAACATTTAGATAAGATGAAAAAAGTCTGTCTTACTGTGTATTATGTGGGTCAATACTACCTAAATTTAAGCAATCTAGAAACCCCAAATAAAGTCTGAAGGTACCAGATCTTCATGTAGAAGCATCCTTCTCCTGGGATCAGTTCCTTAGCTACACCTATATCACCTAAGTCATAGAGAAAAGTTAATTATGTTCACTTCTTAAAGTATATGGCATTCAGAAACTTTAGGATATGCTTGTTCAGTTAGTTAAATCTCACTCATCCTTTTCAGTCATTTAACTTTTTTGACTATCAATAAACCTAGATTTTATACTTGTATAGAATTCAGATTTACTGCAAAGAATAAAGATGCCAAAAACCTTCCCCCCCCACCCCACGGAAAAATTGTATGAGGAGAGTCCTCCCTTCCACCCCATTTTAATTGTGTGACTAAGTTCACGTGTCTAAGAAACAAACACCTGAATATGTTTTGCTGTGGGTTTTTTGTGTCTTTGCTCTATGTAAGATACAGCCCTTCATTTTATTTATGGAAGATTATAGACCTAGAAGGTTGAGAGGATTCTAATTGAAGAAGTATACTTTCTCTTCTATCTTGCATTATATACTTTTTATGCGGAAAGAAACCACTGGAAGGAAAAATATTTATTTTGTCACACAAAAAAAGCTTAGGTTTAAGAAAAAATGGTGCTCATTATTCCTTGAAATTTTTGGGGAGAGGGTTGATTTTTCTAGCAAACTAGTTTTTATCACATATAGTTGCCCATTTTATTAATTCTCATTATTGCATTGTCATACCCTTTGTTTCTTCCTGGCCAAGCCATCTTTTAATACAGTTAAGATTTAATCCAAATTGATAACTTTTAATGATGTAGCCTTAGTATTACTTTCCATAGATATCTGGTGCTTACCGTACATGCAAGATTTTCAATAACTCCTTTAGAAAAGTCTCCTAGATAACAAGACTAGAGAGCAGGAGTCTAATACATGTGGTTATATCTTTCTCTGGAGTGCATTGACCTCCATGTTGTTGCCTGGATATAACAGTATTTGTCCCATGATCTCCTTATGCCTAATATCCAAAAGTATTATTCACAGATGTAATTTAAGTGCACCCTAATTCCTGCCTTTAAGTTGTGCTCCATCATTTTCAGCTGTCAAGAATGCCAGTGGGTTCTGCTCACTTAAATACTTTTCTTTATTTGAGATCATTGAGATCATAGTAGACTGAAGAGTCCTAGTGTTCAATATTCATTTTTACATGTGAGGGGTTTAAACTAAAGGCATCCTCTCACTTATACCATTTTAATACTATTGACTACAGTAGAATTAAGTGGTATAATTTAGTAATGAAAGAATTCCCTATGTCTGTAAGTGAAGTAACTGAATATTTGAATGCTACTAGAGATTATGTAGATAATTTAAATAGAAAAGTTTAAGATATTTATTTATAACACTTCAAAATTATATTTTCAGCTCAGAAACAATGTCCATTCTTCAGGATGCTCCTGCTTGTTGTCTGCCTATATTCAAGTTAACAGAAATATATGAAAAAAAGTAGGTTCTAAATTGCACTTGTTTTAAATTACTCTTTTCAGAAACTCACAATTCCTGTCTTGTACATTAAATTACAATGGAGGCATAAAATAACTTTTTGCTCCTTATCAGCCTCTGCATACACAGTATATTGCACAAATATTTTTAACTGGGCTCCCATAACTAGTTTTTTAAAATCTCTTTAGTTTGGCTTCTTCCAAGATGGAAAGACTTGTGATTTAAATTAGCTTATTGGTTAATTTTGAGTAGCTTGTAATCTACTTTTGCATTATTTCTTACACTGTAGTTTATTATTGCATTCTGTAATTGAACATTTGTTCTAGTTTTGCACATTGAATGTTTATTTTTATGACTAAAGTACACTTAAATCTTTTATTTTTAGATTTGGACACAAGTTAATAGCATCAGATCTGTATAAATTAACTGATACTGTGGCAATCCGTGACCAAGGAAATGGACGTTTGGTGTGTCTCTTACCCAGCAGCCAAGCCCGGCAGAGTCCTTTAGGATCTTCACAGTCTCATGATGGCTCATCAGCAAATTGCAGTCCTATAATATTTGAAGAACTGGAATATCATGAGCCCATTTGTAAGCAGCATTGTCTGAATAAAGACTTTAGGTAGGCTGTGTATGAAATAGTTTTGCGGGTTTTTTTAAAACAGAAAAAAGATTAAGTTTATCAAATTGATTTGTCCTTATACTAAATTTGTACCTTTAAAAAAAAAAATGAACCATCTTTTGGGATGTATATCTCATAGCAGATTTAATCACTGTTACGCATTAAAAGTTCAAGTGTCTGATCATAAGGACTAATCAACAAAAGAGCAGAGATGGCAGAACATCCATCTTCAAATCAAAGTTAGTATCATGGTTTAGTAGGCTCATCTGTTTGAGGATGTGGTGTTGATGCATTGCAGCCTAATTACTGAGGTTGAAATATGCTTGTTATGTTGAGACTGAAATGCAAACCTCAATCCCATTGTTGGTTAGAGGAGAAATTTTTTGATAGCGGTGAAAAAGAATTGCTTAATTTTTCACTGGGACTATAATTGTGAAGTCTTTGATAATTCCACTTAATTTACACTCCAGCTATCTTTAGTCAGCTGGTAGCCCATCATGACCTGAAAACTTCACTGTTATGTCAGAGTTAAACTTATTTCAGTGACAAACTGTGAAATAGGATTAGTTGTCAACAACCAAAGTTGGTAACCAAGTATTTGCTAGTAGCGTGCAGATAGCTGGCTTGTTACATGGTGTTGGCTCTCCTCATTGTATCCAGCTGGTAAGTCACAGTACGACAGCTACAGTAAAAGTTCATGAAATGTCTTCCTAATTACTCCTGGGGGAATTCTGTGCCAAAAAATTTAAAAAGCTACATACAGTATTTTGAAATTTGCAAAATTCTGCCTATTTTATCTGTCAAAATGACACAATATAATCATGTCAGTTTCAGTTATTTTGGTAAACTATTTCAAAATACCTGTCAACAAGTATGTCTGTAACAATACAGACAACAAAAAGTGGAAACGTTTTTTGACAAATAGATTCCTAACTAGGCAAATAATACATAACTTTGAGTAATAATACATTTCTGTATTGTAGTTTAAATGAATTTCCTGCACCCCTCAGAAGCAGTGCAAAAGCTTGGGGGAGTCAGGGATAATGGAAGAACCGAGGGAGAGGGAGGTAATTGCTGGGAAGAAGCCTGTGAGTGAACCTGGAGGGTTGTTGGGCGTGGGTGGGAGAAGTATGAAACACGGTGTTTTGTTTTGTTTTTTTCGCCGGGGGGGGGCGGGGGTTGTTAGGGAGTTTGGGAGCCTCTCCCATGCAGACCCTAGCTAACCCCTAGCCTCTCCCATTCAATCAGGCACATCTACCCCATCTCCATTTGTCCCTGCATTTCCCCCCCTCCCCATGTGTCCTTGCACCCCACTTAGCCACACTTCCTCCCCCATCCCATGTGCCCCTGCACACCCTTCTTTCCATCAACTCCTCCCCATCCCCATATGTCCCTGCACCCCCACTCCCATTGAGCCCCCGCCCTACTCTGTCCCCACACTAGACCTTCTGAACCCCAGTCTGTGAGACTTCCCAGCAATCCCATGTGCCCCGCTGTGTCTGTTTCTTCCCCCCTTCCCCCCAATATCTTGTGCCTCCTCACCTGGCCCTGTGGGCAAGGGCTGAGAGGAATGCAGCCTCTCCTCCTCCCATCAGCTGCTGGCTACCATGGCCGGTGAGCCAGCTGCCCTCTGTTCTGATATCACAGCAGCCCCTGGTGGGTGGAAGGCGTAACTGAAGCTCCTCACCAGCAGAATGTATTTTCTGCAGAAGTTTAAAAAAAAAAAAATCTGCAGTGGACATTAATTCTGCACATGCGCAATGGAGCAAAATCCCCCCAGGAGTACCTAATGTTACTTCTCCATTTAAGCAATTGCTGTAGTTGCCATATAAATATTATGTGAATGGGAGGGGAGGTAGTCCATGAGACTAATGTAGTTTATACTGTGAAAAGTATGAAAATCCCCACGCTCTAGCTTTTTCTCAACCTTATCTCCAGCTAGCACTAGTTTTGTACCTATATGCACCTTTCTTCAATTTGAGCATGATGTAAACATAGTTAAGTACTTCTCTTGTCATTACAGTGAACATGAATTTGATCCAGACTCCTACAAAATTCCTTTTGTGATTTTGTCTTTGAAGACATTTGCACCACAAGTGCACAGTCTGCTGCAGACCCATGAGGGCACTGTGCCTTTACTAAGGTAAACAAGCTTAACTGTGTTTCTTTTAATGTATGAATAGATATGGTAAGGATTTTATCTCCTCTCTTTTTCTAATGAAACTTTTATGAACATGCTGAAGTGCTGTTTCTCTTCAGCTTCATTTATCAAAAAATCTGGGAGCAGTTGAATAAAGACTGTTTTTATTGTGGATTAAAAAAATGTTTCCAATAAGTTTGTTAGTGGTTTTTTTGTTTTTGTTCGTTTTTTTTAAAGGCATACAAAATCTAAGCTGTGTCTTGGTTATGAAATATTCACAGGAAAATTTTGTTAATAGGATGTCTAAAAAGTTCTTTGTGCAAGAAATGTATCCTTTATATTATTGGTATTTATGGAGGGGATTATTGGTTATTGTATGTTCATAGTATTTTAGTAATTGGAATTTTTCTGTTCTCACCTTTTGTTTTTTAAAGCTTTCCTGATTGTTATACGTCAGAGTTCAGTGATCTAGAAATGGTGCAGGAAGGCCAGGGAGGTGTTCCCTTGGAGCATCTTATCACCTGTGTTCCTGGAGTTAATATTGCCACTGCCCAAAACAGCATTAAAGTTGTTAAGTGGATACACAACAAACCACCCCCCCCAACTACAGGTAGATAACACTTTTTATCTGGCTTTTTCTCTGCGACTTGGTAGCCAGCAGTAAAGGAAGGACTCTGTTTCACTATAATTTTTTTTTAATAGTGATTAAATTATTTAGCACTAATACCCTTTTTATTCAGTCTTCATAACTTTTTTTTAAAGTCTGTTTTTTAAAGTGTCTGTCTTGAAGAAAAGTTCTGTTTGAACAAAAGGTGCTCATATTAGTTGCATACAGTAAATTGTCCTCAAGGTTTTAATAGAAAATTTGAGTATTTAAGGTGTTTTCAGTGTATATTAACATTTCTAAAATTATTTAGATATTCCCTCATTTGTGGAGGAATAGTATTAATAAACTCTTAGTAACATGATGTCTATCTGAAATGAACATCTCATTCTAAAAAAAAATTTCTCCTTCTAGATCCTTGGCTTTTACGTTCGAAGAGCCCTGTAGGTAACCCACAGCTTATTCAGTTCAGTAGAGAAGTGATAGATCTACTTAAAAGCCAACCATCTTGTATCATACCTGTCAGTAAATTCATCCCAACTTATCATCATCACTTTGCAAAGCAGTGTCGTGTGTCTGACTATGGGTATTCCAAGTTAATGGAGTTACTAGAAGCAGTGCCACATGTATTACAAGTGAGTTCAATGTCACTTTTTTTGTTGTTTACACATATATTCACAGCTTGAATCAGCTGAGTTCATGAGTGTGTCAGTGGTTGGCACAGAATGTATTTGTTCACCTACCTTGTCCATTTCTCCAAAGGAGATGTCTGTACCTAGGATTCAGTTGTTTACCAGTTCATTTATTTTTGAGATTATAACCATGACAGCTATTATTGTGTTTTCAGAACTTATGAATATATGTAAAGTTCTTAGATCTAATTTCATAGATTCCAAGGCCACAAGGGACCATTGTGATCATCTAGTCTGACCTCTTGTATAACAGAAGCCATAAAACTTCCCCAAAATAATTCCTAGAGTCTATTTTTAGAAAATTAACCAACCTTGATTTAAAAATTGCCACTGATGGAGAACTTTGGTAAATTGTTCAAATGGTTAATTACCCTCACATTTGAAAACTTAGCCTTATTTCCAGTCTGAATTTATATAGTTCCAACTTCCTGCCATTGCATCGTGTTATACCTTTGTCAGCTAGATTGAAGAGCATATTATCAAATATTTGTTATTCATGTAGGTACTTGTAAACTGTGATCAAGTCACTGCTAAACCTTCTTTTTACTAAGCTAAATCTATAGTGGTCGACTCAAGAAGCTCAAACTTGAGGTTATGTAGTTAATCGTGAAGTCTCCTTTTTGTCTTTACGCTTGTGGTGTTCTCTTCAGCCGCCTTGGTTAGCTGGCTATTTGTATAATACTCTCATCTGCATTTAGACAGAGCAGAGCATCAGTATTACTAGTTGGGACTGTGTGAAACTGAGTAGTCCTGATTTTTATAAAGTAATAGTGTTTGAATGATCAGGGAATCCTATGCAATCTTTTGGACACATGTAGCTTTTTAGTAGTGTTTGTTAACATTAGCTGGTCTTAGAGAAAGCATACAATTGTGGATTTTACAACAACCTCCACTAAATCACCAGTACAGCAGGTATGACAGTTCTCTTGGAGGAAGCGTTTGTTGTGCTTTCCTAATGATCCATGATTTGTTATGGAAGTATATGGAAAGAGAGCTTCTCATAGTCATGCACTTGATATTTCTTACCACAATCTGTCCTCCTTTTTACCTAATAGCTCATAACATTATTTACTGTGGAGGGTGGCAGGAAGACACAAGTGATCAGTGCTGAGAAAACACTGCTTGGCTTTTATGCTGTTAAGAGATTTATTATTGTTTTTATGTTCTAGATTCTTGGCATGGGCTCTAAACGCTTGTTAACCCTAACATACAGGGCCCAAGTAAAACGTTTCACTCAAGACTTATTGAAACTTCTCAAATCCCAGGCCAGTAAACAAGTTATTGTGAGAGAATTCTTACAGGCTTATCACTGGTAAGTTGTTTTTGTCTTTACCAAATATCAAGACATCTGCTGTTCACATTTGCACCTGCTTTTCTTTAAAAGTGTAGTGTAAGAGGGGTTGGCACTCAGAATTCTAATACAAAAACACGATTCTACATTGTTGCCTTTTCATTGTGATGTTAGAATTTATCAGATTTTAGAAACGATTGAAAATAGTCCATTATTACTATAGGAACTTTTTGGAATGCAATGCAACATTACTTTAGCACTTAATTTTTCAATTGTCTTAAAACTGCTACTTCAAATTGGGGTACTGTATCTTGTTAACTTACTCCTTAAGGCATGGTGAATAAATGTAATCATTTAAGCGCAATGCGTGGCATACTTGTAATGCAAACTAGCTTGAGAAAGTAGGTGCTATTTTGCGTTGTGTTTTTTTTTTTTCTTTTGTGGAAAAAGAGACTCTTCTTTCAATCATGGAGAGAGGAGGAAGGAGGTGGAGGGGGGAGTTCAAACCAGTATAATTTAATAGCTCTAGCAAGGGGTATCTGATCGATTGGGGGAGTAATAATGGGCAAAAATCCAAGAGGAATTAGTGCCGTCTTCACATTGCCAGTAACATTCCATCTCTCTGATATTCTTAGATTAGCAAAATCTTTTTGAAATCAATCTCAGCATGTTACTTTCCCTAGTGTGAAGTCAGGAGGAAGCAGCTGACACATGTCTTCAGGAGACTGTAGCACATGAAGTTTTATATATGGCAATTGCTGCCTTCTTGCAGTACAAGAAAATATGCCATGTTTGCTTGTTTTAGTTTGTCTTGTGAAAAGTTTGTTTGTTTTAACTCCAAAGCTCCTATATAAAGTTCTTTAAATTCTCATTTTTATCATTTAAATCAGTCTGAGGCACCCAGTAGTTGGTATACACAACTTCACTCCACATGCATCTGAAGCACCAGTGTATGACTTAGTTCTGAAGTTAATAGGAATATTTGATTTTGTGCACTTAATTTACAAATGTCTCCTGGGTTTATGGGTTCTTAAGTGCTTCTGTCACTAGCAATGTGAAAATGCCTTTCATTTCATTGAAGTGTGGGTTCTGTCTTGATAACTAATTATATTTCTATTTTTTTTGTTTGTGCAAACTGATTGCTTACTTGCACATTTAATTGTCCTGTGTAAAATACATCAACATTCTGAAGTTGCTTTACAATTTTCTTCTTAAACTATTCAGGTGTTTCTCTAAAGATTGGGATGTTACTGAATATGGAGTGTGTGAGTTGGCAGATATAATATCAGAAATTCCAGATACAACAATCTGTTTGTCTCAGCAAGACAATGAAATGGTAATTTGTATCCCCAAAAGAGGTATGGCCATATCATCATTTTGATCTGTAAAATAATAATTTATTAATTTATAAAAATGACATTCTGCCTTCACTATTGCCAGTATATTTTCTATTCTCACATAACTTCAAATTAGCTAATTGGGTAAAGCAAATCCAAATGTATAATTAAGTTGTCCCTCTCCTCTCCTTTGACGGTTTTCTTCTGTACTTGTTGCCAAATTATGCCATTATATTATCATAATCCCATGATTGAGAGGTAGTTATGTATAATCCTAGCCATTTAAAAAGCAAAATTTCTGTAATGGAATAAATGGAATGTTTGTATTCATTGCACTAAGTAATATTGAGTTTAGTTAAACTTTTTGTGCAGGATGGCTAGAGGGGGAGAAATTGTTGGCGTATGAGACAAGAAAACTTGCTTAGTAAATATTGCACAGTGATTGCCACATGATTTATTATTTTACAAAGTAAATATGTAAACATGAAGGCAAGTACTTCCAACAACAAAAAATAGTTAATTTTTGTGGCTGATACAAAGCTAAAAATATGCTAATGTTGATGCCCTGTATTTTCTTTATATACCCTTTCTTGCCTTGTAAACTAACTATTCTGTGGCTGTTCACTTTGTTTTAATGTCTTTCACTTTTAGAACGTACCCAGGAAGAAATTGAAAGAACAAAGCAATTCTCTAAGGAGGTAGTTGACTTGCTGCGTCATCAACCCCATTTCCGAATGCCCTTTAATAAATTTATTCCTTCTTACCACCACCACTTTGGCCGTCAATGCAAACTTGCTTATTATGGGTTTACCAAACTACTTGAACTTTTTGAAGCCATACCAGATGTCTTGCAAGTAAGTTCTAGAAATTTTAAGGTATATTTAAGCATTTTTCAGATCACACCTGAATAGACTGTATTCTTACTATCATCAAGAGCCATTTCCAGGTAGTTAACTTCACTAGGAGTTGTGAATTGTGTATCTGCCTGCACTTCTAACCTTTCATGATTATATTTGGTTGATTAGTTATATTTACTATTTTTCATAGACCACAGAAAGTGGTTTTGTTTTGTTTTGTTTATTTATTTATTTAAAGGATGCTATCAGGTTAAAGACTTAAACTTAAAAAAAAACAAAAAATACTTTATGTAATAACCTTGAATTATTGAAACTGAATTTTAAAAATCTAGTTCACAACAAACTTTATTTACTTTCTCTATTTGACTTAGTTTAGACAATAAAAGCAGACTAAATTCAATAGCTTAAGCAAGACTTACTTGATTGTCTCTCTTGAGGAATGTCTGTTAACTCTGCTTGCTTTCATGTAGATACCTTATGTAAAGTAGCTGAATCGTTATGTAAAATAGTTACATAAATATCTAATATCCTTTACTGAATGTTACTGGGTTTTCTGGTCAGTTTAGGTAAATAACTTCATTTTTTTATATTTTTTATTTTATTTCATTTTTTTTTTAAAGGTATTAGAATGCGGAGAGGAAAAAATTCTGACTCTGACAGAGGTGGAACGGGTCAAAGCTCTAGCAGCCCAGTTAGTTAAACTGCTGCGATCTCAGAAAGACAACTGCCTTATGATGACTGATTTACTTACAGAATACAGTAAAACGTTTGGTTACACATTGCGCCTTCATGACTACGATGTCAGCTCAGTTCTAGCTTTAATGCAAAAACTTTGCCACGTTGTGAAGGTAAACTGTTTTTAGTGTCTTTATTTACAAAAAAAAAAGCCTAGATTTCATCTGTTTGTAGAACAAAAGTCATTAGATTCCCTGTCTAAACTGTTTTCAAATATCAAGACTGCATGTTTAATTCATATTTTTACCTCATTTCATTGCAATGGGAATCATTGGGTTTCCCCTCCCTTTGAAATTCCTTAGTGTTTTGCTCAGAGAATTAGTGCTTTGACTTTTTCTGATTGAAAGAAAATACATAGACCTGTAAATTGCTTTGTCCTATAGAGCACCAGAGACTATAAAACTACTGCAGCAGAATTATTTCTAAGGTCAAAATATTTCCATGTAGAAAGCTCTTTTCTTTTACAGTTTAGATTATATTAATGGAAAATTTTGTATCCAAAAAAGCCTAACCCATTTTATAGAACTCAGACTCCTTCATTTTTCTTCTGTTTTTTTTTTTTAACATCAAAATTCTTCAGGTTGCTGACACAGAATCTGGTAAACAGATTCAGCTGATAAATAGAAAGTCTCTACGTACTCTGACTGCACAACTACTGGTATTGATGATGTCTTGGGATGAAACCACCTTTCTTTCCGTTGACGAGCTTAAAAGGCATTATGAAAGTATCCACAGTGCTCCCCTTAATCCATGTGAATATGGATTTATGACCTTAACTGAACTCCTGAAGAGTCTGCCTTACTTGGTTGAGGTATGGAAACTACTAGGAAAGCTGATTTGGTTTTCAGAACCATACTTAAATCTTTCTCACTTTATTTGGCTTTAGTTGTGATACAGTATGTGGGGCTTCCTTGTACTTTCAAAGGATATTACTGTGACTAACAGAAGCATAAGTTTGTATGGTGACATTGCTTTGCTTTTGTGCAGGTTTTTACCAATGATGTGGCAGAAGAATATGTGAAACTTACAAATCTGTATTTGTTCGCAAAGAATGTGAGGTCCTTGCTTCACACGTACCACTACCAGCAGATCTTCCTTCACGAGTTCCCAACAGCATATAGCAAATATACAGGAGAAGTGTTGCAGCCCAAAATATATGGATATAATAGTCTAGAAGAGCTCTTGGGAGCAATTCCACAGGTCTGAAGAACTTTATTACTGCATCATAATCTTAAATTAATTTAAGATTCCTGAATGGCTTCAGTAACAGTTTCTTAGCGCATTTAATTTAAATACATTATGCAACTGAAATTCTGCTTCATACTCTGTATGATCTGCTGCTATAGTTACAAGGAAATGCATACTAGACATGTTACGTATTTTAACAATCTCAATTTTGCTGAACTGGACTGGTCAACAGACAGCCATATTTACTCAGTGTATTCATTGTTTGAATCAAATGAATGCATATGTAAATAAAAATGCAGTAAAAACTCCATAAAACCCCCATTCCTTTATGGAGCAAAAATGTTGGCATCCACCAAGTGAAAATTGATTCTTCCTATAGTTGCTAAAGAGAAACAATGCATTGCAGTTGCTGAGTTGCATATTTATTGTGCTAGGTTTACCTCATAATGTCCCAGTAGCCATGTAACTTTGAACCCTTACTACTAATCTAAAAGCCATGGGAATGCTACATATTTGAATTTTAGTGTGGTATCTCAAATGTCAGCCAGTTGGTTTATACACTCGAAGACAGAGGTGGGCAAACTATGGCCCAGGGGCCACATCCGGCCCTCCAGACGTTTTAATCTGGCCCTCGAGCTCCTGCCATGAAGTGGGGTCTGGGGCTTGCCCTGCTCCAGCTGGGGAGCGGGGTTGGGGTCTTGCCCTACTCCGCACAGCTCCTGGAAGCAGCGGCATGTCCCCCCTCCATCTCCTATGAGTAGGGGCAGCCAGGGGGCTCTGTATGCTGCCCTCACCCCAAATGTTGCCCCTGCAGGTCCCATTGGCCGGGAACCGCAGCCAATGGGAACTGCAGGGGCGGCACCTGCAGACAGGGCAACGTGCAGAGCTGCTGGCTGCGCCTCCGTGTAGGAACTGGAGGCGGACATACCGCTGTTTCTGGGAGTTACTTGAGGTAAGTGCCGCTGGGATCCTGCCCCCCTGACCTCTTCCCATGCCCCAACCCCCTGCCCCGGCCCCAGCCGTGATCCCCCTCCCGCCCTCCGAACCCCTCGGTCTCAGCCCGGAGCACCCTCCTGCACCCTGAACTCCTCACCCCCAGCCCCACCCCAGAGCCTGCATCCCCCAGCCAGAGCCCTCACGCACCCCAACCCCCAATTTAGTGAGCATTCATGGCCCGCCATACAATTTCTATACCTAGATGTGGCCCTCGTGCCAAAAAGTTTATCCACCCCTGCTCTAAGATATTAAAAAATCTTTAGTTTACTTGAAAAGTTTATGACTAATCTTTTTGGAGAGCAGTTTACAATAACAGCTCCCCAATCTGTTTTGAAAATATGGGGCTGAAAAATGCATGAGCTTCAGACATCCTGTTGTGATGTTTAGCATCTCTTTTTATTTATCAAGACAAGACTTTTAATTGGGCAATCTAATGTGAATAGTCTGAGTTAGCTTGCATTCCTTTAGAACTTTTTTCATAGTGTGTGAGAAGTAGGGAGTAGTAGGGATTAGGTGTTGAGGTTAGTGTGTGTGCTCTGGTTACATTGTACTTTTGTCTTATAGGTGGTCTGGATCAAAGGACATGGGCATAAGAGAATTGTAGTACTAAAGAATGACATGAAAAGTAAGTAAGCCAATTGAACTTTATAAGCCAACTATCACACTGAAGTTTACAAGTATCTTTTTAGAGGTGATCAGAGGCCAATTAACTTTTTTTTTTAAGCTCGTTTTAGCTCACCCAGTTTTTCCCCTGCTGATCATGTGGATGATCATGGAAATCAACTTACTGACAGTAATGGACACATGGAGAGTCTAGGATCCACTACATTAATGGAATTAAAACTAGGAACACCTAGTGATGGTAATGCAAACTTAATGTATATAATAAAGTTGTTCAGTCTGTGGAGAAATACACTGAAAGCAGTATTGGGGAAAGAGCTGTGGAACTTAGTATTCAAAGCAGCATGGGGGAAAGAGCTGTGTGACTTAGTTATTTGAAGTAAACTTCTGTGATGTAAGGAGTTTAAAGCTATCAGCCTTCTTTCACAAAGGTCTTAGACATATATTCCTCTTTATGTGAGGTGGAGCCTGTTTCTGTGCGCTCCTGAGGTTTGATCTTCCAAGTTGCAGAAAACTTTTTTCAGATGAGTTCCCTTAACTCCCTTCGCCTCAATGGAAGTTGAAGACAAGCTAAAGCGAGATTAAATGCAAATGATGATGGCCCACTAGGGGATTCCGAGAGCAGAGTACCTGTACCTTGACGTTCAGCTGTAGTACTTCCTTTTTTGCATATGATTTGCAGCCTTAGCACTCCCTCACTGCTGCTACATCTGCTAATAGCAGTGGTAGTTCTGTTGGTGTAGTCTTTTTTTTCCAACTGCAGGTAGCCAGGAGCCTGGGCCTTGTTGCACGGACCTTGCCATGGTTACCAATTCCTTTGTCACCTCCATGCTGGATTACTGTAATAGAATGGCCCTTGAGACAGATGCTTTAGTTGATGTTGGGAGGAACCTACTAGGACTGTTTCTGTGAGGAGTAGGATAATGTGCCCTGAACTCACTACCGATTCAGGGTATGTCTACAGTACAGAGACTATGCTGGCCTGGCTACATTGCCATAGCTATGCTGGTATATAACCCTGTAGTGTAGACATGAACCCCTTCCATCAATGTAGGCTATCTATCTCCCCGAGCTACAGTGGAAGCATTCTTCTGTCAACATAGCTGTGCCTATACTGCGGGTTAGGTCAGCATAGTTGTGTCGGTCGGGTGTGAATTTTTCACACCTATGATAGGTTGACGTAGCTACATCCAACTTTTACGTGTAGACCAGGCCTTGTTCAAGATGCAATTAAATATGTTCTTTAACATCTTACCTGGTTAGGGATCAGTTCTTTAAGAGAACATGTCCTCTTGCAATGGTTGATAGGAGCTTGGTATTTCTACATGGAAATAGTGTCTGAGTGTGGCAGCTGACTTTCTTGCTTAAAGGCTCTTCCTCTGGAACTTACTCCCTTGCCCCTCTCTCTCAGGGTCCAAGCTTGGCAAATGTCAGGTCATATTACAAGGGGGTGGGGTTTGTGTCAGGCTTTGGGTTGAACAAATTTCAGTTTGGGTTTAGTCAATAAATCCCCTTAGAGCATTTTTGCTGCAGACTTGGCATTTATCAACTATTAATATATTTACTATGGCATTTAGATATTTAAAATTGGTGATATTTTGAAAGATCATTTTATTTTCGCAGTTTCTAATCAAACTGAACAAGAACTCCTTTGCCTCACAAATACATCACCTGTTGACCTCTTGTGTGAACCAGTTCCTTCCTGCCTACCATCCCCACAACTGAGACCTGATCCAGTCATTCTTGAGTCTGCAGACCTCATTCAGTTTGAGGATCGCACTCCACCTCTCTCTGGTAAGAGTTACTAGCCATAGGCAGGTATCTGGAAGCTACGTCTACGTTTACACTGGCATGTAGAGTACAGACACTGCATGCCCAGCTAGAATAAGTATAAATAGCAGTGTAGGTGGTGAGAGACGGGTTAGGCAAGTAGAGTACCCTGTGTGCCTGAGTCCCCAGGTTATATACTCTATATGGCTCTCTATATGCTTAAGCAGTGCCTCCCTTGTCTACACTGCTGCTTTTATTATTTTATTGTCCCATTGCCTCCCCACTACCAGAACCTTTCCCTGCTGGAGCCTTTCACTGTGACACGTAGCTACACATGTAGCGCCTGTACTCTACACCTCACCTTAAGTGTAGACCTAGCCTAAATGGTACTTACCAGACTTTACTGGTAACTTTTTTTTAAAAATTGAAAATGAAACATCAAACAAATGGCTGATCATGATCCACTGACTTTTTGTGGATTTGCTTCCAATATATTGTACCTTTATATGGAGGTGTTCCATCTGAAGCTGTCAGTGCTTTACAAACAATTAATCGACAGTGCTCTTGTGAGGTAAATGCAGAATTTACAGGAATCACTTCCTCCTCCATTAAAATGCAGTCATCATTACAGTGGCATATGGCAGTAGTTTAGCAACCTGCAGAAGCCCTTTAACAGTAATTTTACGGTACTTCATATGAAGTATTTGAGACAGTTATTGTGGTTTGTGAATTAGACTCATTTTACAGATAGATAAACCGAGACAAATATTTAGTGTTAAAACCAAATATCAAATTAACAGCAGAGATGAGAACTGAACCAGAGTGCTGTGGTTCTTAAATCTGCTAGTCACACTTCCGCACAGAGAGAACTCTTACCATGTGATTCTCCTGCATAGCTGTAAAAGAATCTGATTTTGAAAGTAAAATATTTGTAAATAATTTAGTTGTTGTATTTATTTTAGAGATGATGATTCTAACAGAAGAAGAAAAAAACAGAATTGTTACCACAGTAGCAAAAGGAAACTTGAGCTGTGGCCCTGTGGTATCTGGTGCCACAGAGAATTCTTCAGTGCCTCCCTACCAATCTTCTGAAACTCAACTAAGCAAGGAAGCAGTGGACAGCCCAGCCAAAAAGCAACACAAAAACAAAGTGAAATTGGCAGCAAACTTTTCACTTGCACCTGTAACCAAGCTTTAAATTTTCTTCTAGTGTGAAAGACAAATACTGTTGGACTCTGCACAACAATATAGCTATTTGGTAGCCCTTATGTATTTTAACGAGAAGGCCTAGAAGTCACTTAATTTGTATTTAGATGTATTCTGTGAAGATTTTGTTCTTTTTACACTGATCACAGCTGTCAGCAGGGCAAACTATTTTTATTATTTTGAAAAAACTTCCAGTATTCATTAAATTATTCTTAACAAGTTTTATT